CTGAACCTTGATAATTCATATGAATGACTGGTGAGGGGATCCATTATGAATTATGCTCCAGAAATTTGTGAATTAGGCTTCAATCCTGCAAGGGCTCCGCACAGATAGCCCCCATACTCAGCCCCTACCCCCCCAGTCAATGTAACAACTCGTGATTAAATGTAGGCACCTCACCTGTTTAACTACCTTGCTCAACTGAAGCCTTAGCTCTCCTTAGCTAATTCTGCTCTCACTGAAGCTAGTAGCAACATTTTTATTAATTTCAATTAGACTAAAGACTGGGTCCTAAGTGAATAAACATACACACACAAGGATAGTTCCTGAGAGAATGTAATTTATTTTGAAAAGTATAATTTATTTTTAATTATTTCTAATAGCTTATATATTACCAATTATATTGGAGAATATTTTATAAAAACAATGAACTCTTAGTAACAGAAGACCTAACTAAAATGGTCAACTAGTCTGTCTTTGCAGAGAAGTGAGGTCTGATTAAGGGGTTTGTTTTGTTTTTTGGTTGATTTGTTGTTGTAGTAGTGGGGTTTTTTGTTTGAATTATCAGGTTTGCTTGTACATACAACACAAACATGAGTAAACTGTACCTGACAACTCCTGTTATTTTTGCCATGACCTACAAAGTATTGAACAACTGATCTGAGACACAGAAAGTAGGTTCGTTTGTTTTTTTAAAAAACAAATTATCTAAAAAACTAAAACTAAAACAAAAAACAAGCCATACATTCTCTCATATTTCTATGTGCATTTATCTTAATCAAGCTGTTCAGAAGTTTAAACCTTTAAAAAGATACACATCCCTTTTCCAGTCTCAATGGCAACAGTTACATTCCAAAAACTGGGCTGCCATCATCAATGATGCTGATGCGCACACACGCACAAAAAAATCCATAATCATTTTATGTCATTAAAAATAAAGTGAGGAAAGTAAACTTCACCTGTCAGAAACAGGGGGAAAAAATGGTAGTGAAAATCATTTTATATTTCTCATACAAGTTACAGATGAAAGAGTTTTACACGGTCATCTACTTCATTCCTCTGTCAGTGCTTTTTTTCCCCCTCCTGTATATTTTGGAAGGTTTTCTTTGATCTAGATTTAAAGTATCCCAAGCAATGTGACTCTCTTCACTTTTCTTAAGAGACTATTCCAAATCAATCTCACTATAAGAAAGTATTTAAAAAATGAAGAGCAAAAACATATTTATAAACCTGATTTTTTTTTTTAAATAAACACCTTCTCTTTACTACTATTTTTCTTCTCCTAATCCCCTGCATCCTGGCCTGCATTACCATCACCCCCCAGGCTTGCAAGCATCAATGACAACCAATGCTGTTGTAGAAAAGAAAAACAACATGCCTGGCATTCTCAGTCTCTCCTGCTGGCAGGCTCCAGTTGCTGCAACTAGAGAATCTCTCTAGTCTGAACCAGAAATACAATTGACCATCAAAACTAAAACTGGTTTGCGCACACAGTACACAGAGTGGGACCAAGTCTAGCTATATCATTTATTTCCAAGATTCATGCTGATTAACTCTCAGAACTCATTTACATGACTCATTCATGGAAACAGTCAGTGTGATGTCTTTATTACATGACAGAAATAAATTAATATATAAGCAAGCCATATTACATTGTATATCATATCATTGATAAAATATGAATACATGGGGAAAAGAAGTTTTATTTTAAGTCTAACCTAGGATTTAAAACAAAAACAGATTCTTAAATCACAAAATAATTAGCCTGATACTTCAGGTTCTTCTTCTGACTCTTACCATGATGAAAAAAAGATGGAAAGCTAAATAAAAATTAAAACACAGGCTAGTTATACTGAAATTAGCTTCCTCTCCCCCCCGTTTAGCAAGTTAAATTCACCACAGCAATCCAAAATGAAAGCTGAAAAACCTGGTTAAGATGTCCATTATTACTTATAAAGAGAAGCAATGTATCAATCATAGTATTGAATAAGAACAGATAACATATTTCAAAGAACTGACCTAAAAGATCCAATGACTAGCTAAGTACAAGAACAGCAACATTCTTAACTAAATATAGCTCTAGTAATACTGCTATTGCTAAGATTATGTCAACTTTTCCATTCTAAACCTCCTCCTAACCCTTTTCCAAGAGTTTAGAACTCCACTATAAATATTCAACCTGGCATGAAATTTAACATACAAAGACTCATTACTGAAGCAATTTTTTTAAACCCCAACTCTTCTCCTCGCCCTCTCCAAAAAATCTATTCACGTTTTTAAACTTGTAGGAGTGCATAAAAACTGGACGTTTACTGACTATTCCCCCCCACACACACTCTGTAACTTCATATACTAAGATTTTTTAAAATGAAATTTGAAAGACATTATTGAAACCTTCAAACATGATGGTACAACTTGGAGGAGGCTTTTTACTTTTTTTTTTTTTTTTTTAAATGTTCATAGCTTGTGCTCAATAATAGGCTAAAAATATACAAAGCCTCGATTCTGCAATACACATGCACTTAACTTTATAATCATGAGTAGCCCCACTAATTTTGATGGGACAAGTCACAGGGCCTTAGGTCCCAATCTTGCAAAATGCTCTTTGCTAGTGGATTTCTGCACCCACACAGCATCTTGTGGACTTCCAATGGAAGCAGGATCTGGCCCCTAATCAATTTTAGTCCACTGATGAAAAAATAGATTCAAATGCTTTGCATTTGTATAGCACTTTTCATCTGAGGAGCTCTAAGTGATTTACAAACTGTAGCTCTCTCAACTCCCCAGGAGAAAAGTAGATATTATATTCCCCATCCACAAAATGGGGAGGCTGAAACAGAGATGTGAAATGACTTGCATGTGTCACTGACAGAGCCAGAAGGAGAATGAGATTTCCTGGCTGCCAGCCCCATGCTCAGACCACTATCTGACATTAAACACGTGTAACTGCCCCCATCTCCACCCACTATCACTGTCCCTTTCCTGAACTGATAAGTGTGTCCTTACAAAAAAGAACCAGGTAACACTTTATTACACATTCTAATACCTAAATATAATATCTCAATAACAACCCAACCCTGCAAACCCTTACTCATGTGAGTAGTTAGTGGAATACTTACTTGAGAAAGGACTACTCACATGAGTATGGGTTTGCAGGGTAAGGGCCTCATTTCATAAGTCACCCCCCTTGTGCCTCAGTATCAGAGGACACTGCTGCAACTTTTCACTCTTAACCAACCCTTGACAAACCCATTTGAAATTTAAAAATCAGAATGGCAGTGCTTTGGCAGACCCTTGCCTATAAACAATGTAGAAATTCAGCCTCAAGTGGAGAGAGTCTTTGGTGTGGAGCTCTTGCAAGAGGAGGAGAAAAGGGTGGTGAAGCAGAAAATAGTTACATAAACAGGCATACAAGAGTGTTTATTGCAGTCTTTTCAAAATAGCATTTGATTTGTGTTTGCACTATTAAAAGTAATCTAGTAGATCCCTCACAAACGTAATGTAAAAATCTGCAATCACTGTCAGAATCTTAGGATGACAGAGTCAGTTGTCAAGTGACTATCACTGCATGATGTAAGTACCAGCAATCAAAGTGGAAAGTTCTAAAAACTCAATTATCCCGCTCCCATTGATATGTTTAATCTATTTACAGAATATCAACTTGCCGAACCAATGAACCCTTGTTAGCACAATAAATTCTCCAATGTAAGACTTCTTTGGAGCCACTAAATTTAAAAAAAAAAAAAACATTCCTTGTCAGAGAATATGGCAAACATCTGTCACAGTAAGAATTCATACTCTAAAATTAGTAAAGTATTAAAAAATTACCTTTTCAGCTTGTCAAAAATGTGTTATATTCTGCTATTTAGGTCAATAAAAGCACAAGACCAATATAATTATGAAGAGTTCAAGAATTTCAATTATTGAGTCAGATATTCTTTAGATGTCAGTATGAATATAGGAAAGAGCACACAAATAAAATTAGCAATCAAAACATACTAAGCAGTTCTGTACTGATAACTGACCCAACCATAATCTTCCTTCAGTGACTTCATTATGAAGATTCCAGTTAGCTGTTTAACGTATACAATGCTAATTATGAAGATTGGAAAGGTATTCTTAAATACAGCAGTCTGCTTATGTACATTTTGTGAAATATAGATGATAAAAATTTTAAATTCAATTTAAAAGTACAGCATGACTTTGAAGCTTGAAGGTCACATACAGTAACTGTCCTCATCAGGATTCTTATGTGAGACTGTATCTTCTGTGCTACATCTATATTTAGATGAAGAAAAAACAGGACAACCTGCCCTATCATGAATTCAGGAAAGTTCAGCCACTAATTATCATCATTAATCTATTTCATTAAAAATTCTTAGCAGTCTATTATTATGCTAAATCTCAAAATAGCAAGAAAAAAGGAAGGCAACTTGACTCTGCTTTCCAACTTTAATTTTCCCTACCAGAAACCAGGCATTATATTCAGGTCAGCAATGACCTTAGGTAACAGATGCCATATTTTCTCTATTTTAACAGACATTTCAAATGCATATATCATTTAAGAAGGTTGGCTTCCCCCTCTCCCCTATAAATGCTTTTTACTTTAATAGACCATAAATTTGATTGCACAGAAAAGTTACAGAACTGTGCACTTGTCTTTTTTCCTATCAGGGGATCTACCCAGCATCATCCTAAAAAGCTTCAAATGCAAAAAATTACATTAGGTAGGCCTAAAACTAACACACACAAAAAACTCCACATGCCAGAATTTGGTGGTGTCAAAAGATGAATTTTCATCTTTAGTGAAAACTTCACCTGCGATAACTAATGTGAAATTATTGTAATAAATATGATTAAAATTGTAAAGTATAGATATTATAAGACTCTTGAATAAAACATGGGCTATAAACAGATCCCAGCTATACATGTATACAATAGTGACACACTACAAAGCACACGTGAACATGTAAGGATGCAAACAAAATAAATATGTTCAGACTTACCCCATTCTAGATACTCAAGAATATTCTTCTCTCTCCTCAGGGGGGAATTATTACATTCATCATAAAGGCAGATGAGTATATCCAGCAAGGTTTCCACACTGAAGCACTGCCCATTAGTCCGAGTTGGCCCATCCAAAATAAACTGTTCCAACTGCCTCAAACGCACCTCTCCAGACATGGTTGTTTCAGTTTGTATTGGGGTTTCTTTTTTAATTATTATTATTAATTTTTTTTAAAAAACTAACTTTTAAATGGATTGTTAAAAAATAAAAACAACGTATGTTTTTAAACAAATGTCAGTGTAGCAAAGGTGGTGCTGAATTTACAATCCACCTCAGTGTTCCTAGTCTGAAAACTGAATCTCTGTCAGTTTCACTCACATACACATATACAGTATATACACATTTGAAAGAAAAGAGTTATCCTAAAAAAAATATTTTAATACTTTTAAAAAGAAAGAAAAATATATAGTCACTCTTGACATTTAAATAATAATAATTAAAATGAAATTCAACCAAGACTGACACCAATTTATCATATATAGAGCAATCGATATTTTTATATATTTAAAAAGGTCTTCTCCTTCATTCAAAATTCAAAACATGCAACATAATCCTGAAAAGAATCCCACTGCATCATTAAAGTGTAAAAGCCCCATTCAGTTTGCATCAGCAATTCACTTCCCAGGAAGGAGCAGCAGAAGGAAAAATATATAAAAGGAAGAAGAAAATTAAATGCATAGAGGAGGGGAGGGAAAGGGCTGCAAAATACCCACCACCTCCACCTCCTCCTCCTCCAGCACCACTCGGTAAATGCATCAGTGGCAATTTCTTCAGAAAGGTGGGGGGAACAGGTCGCTGGAAGCAGCCCCTCCTCAGGGCTCAGCCAAGTCCTGTCTGAGGAAGGCTTTTCCTTTCTCCTCCTCCTCAACGAGTCTCTTTTTAAGGCTTTTCAGTGATCCCTAAAAATAAAAGGCTTCATCCCCCCACCTTCTTCTCTGCTGTGTGGAGTGGGGCGCTAGCCAGCCCCCGAAATACCAGCACCACCCAGGGAAGGTGGGGGGCAGGCTAATAACCCTGTCAAATCCTTCCCATGTCTGTGCGTGTCCTCCTGCCGGGTGTCGGCCCTGGGGAGCGGGGTGTCCCCCCTCCTGCTGGAGGAGATTAGAAGATACTGGACATGTAAGGCCCCCGGGTGCTAATAAGTGCTGCTGCTGCTGGGGGTGTTTTCAATCCAGGGGATGGAGAGATGCTGCCCCGGCTTCGCCCCACCGGGCTAAGGGCATCTTCCTCCGGCGGGGGGCAGGGAGGGCTCACAGCCTGCGCCCCGCTTTCCGCTCCGCCGGCTCCTGCTCCTCCACACGCCCCCCCCTTCGCCGGCCCGGCTCCCGGGTCGCCCCCTCACTCACACCCAGAGGCGGCGGCGGCCGCTGCTGCTGCTGCTGGGCTCTCAGGATCCAACATGGCGGCCTCCCCAGCCCTAGCGGACGGAGCAGCCGCTGAGCACAGCTGCAGAGAGCGGCGCTGAGCCTGGGAGCTGCTGCTACTGATGGGATTCAGGGAGGGGGGCAGCGGGGGGAGCCGTTGCTGCAGCAGGGAATGCAGGGATACAGGCGGACTGAGCGGAGGAGGAGGGGAGAGCAGGATGCAACGCCCCGAGGACTACTGCAGGAGCTGGGAGCTCCTAGTCTCTCCTGGATGGATCTGGATGGCTTCCCTCGCTCACCCCCGCATCATGGAGCCCCCGCCCTTGCCACTTCTTTCCCATACTCCCTCCTCTTAGTCCCACCTCTCCACACAAAAAAGCGGTGGGCGTGGGACCCACCTAGCCCCACCTGGGCTAGTGGCTCCTTAACTTCTCTCTCCATGGTCCCTGCCCTTTGCTGCTACCTGGGTTCTTTCACTGTCCTCTTGGCGGCAGGGTTTTGTCATTTCTCTAATTACACCCTTCCTCAAAAAAAAAATCCCCTATTTCATCTGAGGGGCCAGAGGGCAGTGTGAGGCATGTTACTTGTCTTTAACTAGAAGCCGTGCCTCGTTATTAGAAACGCTTGGAGATGACAAACGCTTCAGGTGCTAATACTAACCCTGTTACATTCAAAATTTTAGTCTCTTAAAATATACCTGATCATACATGGTCAGAACATTTACATTTATACACAACACCTTCCATACCAAATGATCGCACCGTGCAATGCAAGCTAATACACACCAGGGATCACTTTCCTCAGCACTGAAATTCAGCCATCTCTGGGGTGGAAAATGGCAGCTGTTTAATAGCACATGGCAATGCCATTCAGTGTAAAGATGCCATGTGAAGAATGCAATATCTAATTGAAACTCCAGGGGGGGATTTAAATAAATGTCATCTCCAAGAAACATTAGAGCTTAAACTAACCACCTTTCCATCAGAAGAGCAAGGAAAAGAAAACACTGTCTTGGTTTAGACCCATCCAGCAAAGGCTTAGCAGAAAAGGTGAACTTGTACTATTCTCTGAAGGCTAACTAAGTATATCTCTGCTGGAGTTCCAGAGAGAGCAAGTTCCACAGGTAGGGTCCCTCCAGTGACAATGTCCTTCCTCCTATCCTTGGGAGTGCATGTCTGGAGTTGGACTGTCAGCAAAAGTGCTTCAGCTGGTCTTGGCCACAACTATGGTCAATACAATACTGGTATTTTCTACCTTAGCCTTCCTACTGGGTAACATAAAGCACTAAGAGTTTTATTTGTACCAGTATGTGCAAAAGAATAAGAAAACACAGATAAAAATTAACCATTACAAGATCAAGATTCAAAAGAGAAACTCCAAAGCATTTTCCTACACTTACAGAAAGATGAGTCTTTTCAGTAACCTAGAGTTACTCAAGGCAGCATCTTATCTGTAAACCCTGTGGTCTGAAGATATAGAGGGTAGGGATGGGAGCTCCCTAGTTCCTACTATCATTTGCTGGTGAACAGTAGAAAGAGCAGATGGAATACACTCCATAGAAGAAGAAACTGTCTGCCACCATCTGTTGGTGAACAGACCTGCTTTATAAGCTGTTTATCCAGAACTCCAGATAGAAATTCTATAGGGAAGGAGCTCTCTACTCCCAACTATTGGTGAACAGGGGAAAGTACAATTACAGAGAGAATTCATTTGCATAAGCTTCCTATACAAAAATCCTCTTTACAATTTGATAACTCACCAAAACTGCACATGAATTCTGAATTGCTGGCATAATGGGACTGAACTGAAAAAGAGAGAACAATGGGTTCCAATTTGTGGTAGGGAATGCATCCATCATGGCATGGACTCTGTTCAAGGGTCCTATAATGGAAGAGAGACCGCAGAGTGGAGAGTGCTGAGATCACTCTTTGTTGAAGCTGTAGAGGGCAGCAACGGAGCTGAGTGAATTCCACTGAAAGGTCTCCTACCCACCACCAGTAAAAGCTGTATTAAGTGGTGGAGGCTCAGGTGTAAATCGGGCAAGTCCTTCCCCTAGGGCCTGGGGACAGGTCTGCCTCACTGCACTCAGTCTCTGGGACTGCATGATCTACTGACACCAAACCGTGAGTGGGATGTAGCAGTCCAGGAAGGGGGGACAGTGACATATTAAAGAGATATTTGCATATGAGGTATTTATGCTGCTGAGTGGAGAATGAATTTAAGGGAGTACTGTTAAAGATACCCTGGGGGTGTGGGTGTTTCACTTATTATTCATTTATTTATATTGTTGCTGTGTTTTGCTATGTTAATGCTATGTTCCCTTCTCCCCAATAAAATATTTCCAAATTTTATATTGAGTCTTGTGCTTGCAAGTGGGGAATTATTGCTTGCTAAGGGTGCCTAATGAAGGTATCTAGTTTTCCCCTTGTTTCTGAGTGGGGACTTGAGCTGGTAGTGTTTGTTAATTTTAAGAGGACATGCATGACATTTGAACCCAGCCCTTGTTGCTGCTAGCAACACCCAGCAGAAGGTCACACATCACACCAGGTCTTCTTGAAGTGCTTTCAGCCAAATTCTCCCTCTTTAGAGCTCAGCTGAAGGCAAAATGTGTCTTTCTGTGGTCCACAGGTGGCTCTATTTCACCCCCAGCAATTATTTTCCTCTTTACAGTCAATTGCCTATTTCTAGAATTCCTACATGCAAAAGTATACAGGTGATTTCCATTACAACCCATTACATCACCTGAAGAATATCTCTAGTCACCAGTTCTGTCACACAAACTATGAGGAATCTAATCCCCCTGTAACAAATGAATAAGGAGCAATACTTCATATTATACAATGACATTTTTCAATTTCACAGCATTGTCCATATGCTAACTATTTAATTCTCACAAAACCTCTATGAGGTAAGAAGTATTAACATCCCTGTTTTGCAGGTAGGGAAACAAACAATCAGAGAGGTTTGGCAAAGGCCACACAGCAAAACAGGTAGACCATGCTGCCTCCCAATGAAATAAGACATACAAAAACAAATAATGCTGACATAGACTCATAGAACTGAAGGGTGGGAAGGGACCTGTCCTGGGTTGCAGTTTTTCTAAAATAATCATAGTGTGTCAGGTTTTTCCCCATCCTAATTTTTACTAGCACCAGAATAATATTTAGCACTTATTATTTCGTAGTGTCATAGATGTATATAGTGCCTTATGAAACAACTGAAGAATAATATATATATATTGGGACTGGTCAAAACATGGTTGTTTGGTTTTTTTGCCAAGTATTTAGAATCATAGTGTTAGAAGGGACCACAAGGGTCATCTAGTCTAACCCGCTGCCAAGGTGCAGGAAAAAAGTAATTTTCAAAAAATCATCCTAATTTTTTATTAAAAATCAAAATTTGGAAAATGTTGATCAGTTTTAATATTTTTAAAACAAAGAATATTGGTTTTGGAATTTCCCAGGTTTTTTCTTTTTCCTTTTATGTAGTTAAACTAGGATCATTTTGTTATATATATGGCATGGAGGGCATCATCAGAATATTGAAATTAAAGGAGGCAATGACGCTGACAAAGCTGATAATGACTAGAAACGAACCAATTCCCTGGTAATTTTAAAATTGTTCTGTGGAAAGAATTGACCCATCAAAGCATCCCAGAAGGTTTGTAAAACTCATGGAAAGCATTTGTTGAAAATACAGGCCTTTGCCACTCCAAGAAAATTTCTATTACTTTTGTGGTATGGAAGGACACTTACGTTTTTTCTAAACTGAAACCAGCCGATAGAAGGCAAAATGTTACTCAGTTGCATGGTGCCCAATCCTGCTCCCATTGAAATCAATAGGATTTTTTTGCCTTTGACATCAGTGAAAGCAGGATTGGGCCTATAATTACCTCTGAAACTAATGGAATTGGTTTAGACCCAGAATTATCCACAGCAAAAACAGTTAATAACTTTGCATGATTCCAACCTGTTTTCTCCATATTATAGCAAGTGCATGCGTTTTTAAGGAAACGTAACTATATGGAAAGTTT